GAAAAATGCTAGTCATACAATTTCCATATATGAAAAAATACTAATCATAGACCTTTCATGCAATTTTCTGTAAGTATGGAATTGTATGGAAAGTGTATGACTAGCATTTTTCCATATATGGAAATTGTATGACTAGTATTTTTGGTCATACCGGGATTCTTCGATAATCAAAACCATAAGAAAACTAAGTAAGGTAAAATAACATTAATGATAATTAGTCCGACTTTCGATACGAAAGTAACGGAATATTTGTGCTAGTTGTTTTTTTTCTTCCGACAAATTTCGACTTTTTATCTAGCCATTTTTGGCGAAATTTTTTAAATATCATTCGAAAGCTATTGTTGTCCTGAGCTTAAATTTGTAAAGATATTTCACCTGTGATCTTTTTTTGTAACGTTATGAGGGTTTAAAGATTGCCATTTTGGCCATTTTAACCAATTTGGACAATTAACACGCGATATAATTCGCGCTATTAACGCGTAAGCGGAGATTTAATCCGTCTTAGAAATCGTTCCAAATAGGTTGAAAGAAGCCTATTTGCCATAATTGATTTGTTACAAGAAGCGAAATCTATTGTTTTGTAATTTATATGGCGTGTGGGGGGATGATTTTCATCGAAAAATTTTTAAATTTTAGAAAAAAAAGTTTTTCATTTAATTTTATTTCATTTAATTTTTTGATGTTGTTTATGTTATTACTGCTCCATAAACGTTAAAAAGCTGTCGGACTTTTCAGGGCTTCGCCTTGACACGAGCGGTCTTGTTTATTTTTGGTGTTATTTTCTCCAATAGTCAATATAGCCAATATCAAACAGCAATCCGTATCGAAAAAAAAACATGAGCATTTAACTAACCTCAATTCAAACTGGATTGTTTCTGAGTCAATTTTTTCTCGCTGACGTCTTCTCGCTGAACGTCATAAAAAAAGACTATCAAAAGCACTAATAAATTAGTCTCAAAACAAGGAAAAATTAGTAATTTTCAATCCCCAGAAGTTATCAATAATGATAACAGACGAAATATCTGTGTAAATGTGAACTCAGAGAGAATATACTTTCGTTGGGGAAACTTTACATGCATGCTTCTTACTCAATCTACAGCAGTTGGATGTCAAATTCAACTTGAAGCATGTAGTGAATCCCCCGGGTAGCATAAAAAGTTTTTTTTGTCTGTGAGACATGTAAGAAAAAGAGCCGGGAAATAAGAGAATTTCGAGAATAGGTTAATAATAAAAAAGTAACCTCAGACATGAAGTAAAATCATATCAAAAGACCACTTGCTTGTCATCCACTCAAATGAGTGGTACACTAATCTGATTTGCAAATTGATCTATAAGAGTTTTTTATGCAATTAAAAAAATGAAATCACTGAATTGAAATACAAATATGAAAGCAAAAAGTTTAGAATGACATCCACTTAATCTCATGACCGATCATGATTGTTTTTGCTCTCAGTGACATTACGAGCTCAGATTGTGCATTTTGTGAATTGTAAGCGGATTCCCCAACAGGCCAATACAGATTTGTCAAGGAATCCGCAACTTTTCTTTTTCACACAGGAACATAGAGACCAGACCCAAAACTGTGCGCCTATCCAGTGCACAGTTTGGCTTCGTAATGGCGACTAGTTGGAATCAACTTGAATCTATTTTGCCGACACTGTTAGGGTGTATTATCAGTTAACAGCCAACTGTTTGCTTTTTTATACTTTGGTATAAACGAAATATTAAAAAAACAGTCGCTAAAACAAAAACTATTGAAGCAGAATATAATAAGTAGCTAAGCAGTAGCGTGCCGAAGAAGAGGGAAGGCGAGGGGGGCGATTGCCCCCCTCCTTCAATTCTGGTTGTTAAATGTTTCGCCGTCCTTATACTATTTTGGGAGAGCTCGGAAAATCAAATTGGTCGACCCAAAAAAAGGCCGCCTAAATTTTCAAAATTTTTCAAAAAACCGCCCCCTAGACAAAAAATCAGTCTTGGCATATGCAAACTCTAACTTTTGGGCTCCAAAATGAAGGTAGAAGAGGTTTTGTTCTTTTTCGTCTAAAAAAGTATTTGAATTTGCTTTCCAACTAAAACAAAAATTTTTTTTTGAAAAAGTAATTAGTATTTGCTTTCCAACTAAAAGAAAAGGCATTTTTTGAAAAAGTTCTGGCTTCGAGTTATTGGAGAGTCCAGATGTCAATTCAATTTCAAAAACTTATTAAAAAATCATCAGCAAACGTGGCAATAATAGCAGACAAGCTTTCAATCAAAGTCACTCTGGAAAAAAAACTCAAAAAACAATGAGACATATGTTTAAAAATTATTGGTGCTTTGGTCATCAAAAAATTGACGGAGCGGTAGATTGAAACAAAATGAAAGCGCTATGAAAGCGAAACAGTTCTGTAAAAGCGTAGTCGAAACGGAATGGAAGCATAGATCAAAAAGTGAAGTTGAAAGCTTGTTGTCTGACAATTTGAAAAATGATGCGCTGGAATGATTGATTACAGCGTTTTGATTAACTGACCTTCAAATTCATGGACAGATCTGTTAAACTGTCACAATCTACCAGTTACCTCGAAACGCCAATCAAACTCGAAAAACGTTTTTTTTTGTTATATTTCCTTTTGTAATTTTTCAGATTCAAAATTTTGTTTTGCGAGGTTTCAATTATACGCCTATCAGAAACATACATAGTTAATCTTCTGGTTGTATATTTAGCATTTGTTCAAGTGCAGTGTTAGTTTAATTTCTCTGGACAAAATGAAAACATAAGAAACTCTTAAAAACTAGAAAACTAAGAATTCGGGCGTGCGTGTGTAAAATTTGCAGTGGTGCTCATAACCTTTTTGAAAAAAATGATGGAATAGTGTCATTTGACAAATTTTAACTACAATTTCATCCCATTATCATTTTACCTACACTTGTGTTCAGTTTTCATTTTCTCTTAAAAATTTTTGGTTCACTCCATTCCATATATGAAAAAAAAATGTGTTTTTTCGTTCTGGTTTTTTTAAAACTTTTGTTCAACAAATATGACTAATTTTTTTGATATTATGAAAAAAATTTCTTCGAGCATTTTTTCACTTATTTTGATTATTATTCGTAAATTATAGGTGTTTGAAGAATGCGTGCGAAATTCTCCAGTTTTTTTTAATATGACGTATGCAGCGATTTGACCCGACTGGGAAACGTTCCAAATTGAGTTGAGGCTGTAATAGTGACCAAAAAATGCGTCTATACATGCGAACATTAATACTTAGTATCTAAAGCTTCAAAGATGTTAGCTGTCAAATTATGTAAAATTATGTCAAATTAGATCTCGAAAAAATTTCATTTTTATTGTGTGAAAATTGGAAATTTTTTGAAACATGCAAATGTAGATACCTTGAAGCGCTGTCAGGACTTGTGTTTTGCACTACTTATTTGTCGGGACCCCCCGCAACACAAATCGACTTCTTCATAGACCCCGCCTACCTAGAATATTGACCGCTTCAAATTTTTGGGGGTTCTGAGAGGACCCCACCAGAAATTTTCTACCAAGTGTTATGAAATACTCCAATTTTGAGATTTCAAATAGAAAAAAAACTGTTTTTTCAGCGCAAGACAATTTTTAACTGGCTCACATTATAGAAATTTTATGCCAATTTTTCAAGAAAATTTTTGGCTCGATTTCACTATTGTGTTTATCAGAATTGATCAATAGTTGCAGAAACCCCCTGATAATTTTGAACCCCCTCCCGCAATGAAAACGCCGTTTTTGCTCAAAAAATGTCCAACCCTTGGTAATTACGTACTGCAGAGCACCAGCGGATATAGGGGGGGGGGGGGGGCGGACGTTCCTCTTTTCGGAAAATCGAACCCCTGCCGACCCAAAGGGTCCCCCCTTTGTATTATTTTGAGATCCATTTTTAGTGACGGACCCTAAAACTTTTCTAAAGGCGCCTTGGGCGCCAATAAACATTAATTTTGAGGGGGGAGCGCGAGCCGAAAAAACGTGATTTTTTGCTCAAAGTTTTCCAAAAATTGCCTAAAAACGCCTTTTTTGGCCTGTTTTTTTTTTCAGAATTTTGGCTGCGGCGCTGAAAATTTGTTCAAAATGGGGTCTCTATAGTGATTTAGGAGAGCTCAGAAAATTAACTTGGTCGACCTAAAAAAAAGTCGACAAGTTTGCGAAATTTTTTGAAAATCCGTCCACCCCCATAGGAGAAAATCCTAGATCCGCCCCTGCTGCAGAGTACGTATTTGCCCTGATGCGAGAAGTCTTGTTTTCACTTCTTGATTTCAATTACTCGTTTGGTACTGTGAGAAGTTAAAAACAACTACATAATATGACAGGGTTTCTTCGGAAAATTAAACTGTAAGAATTTGAGCATAAACAGAATTTAGCCAATAATTTTTAATTCAATTTTCAACCTAAGAACTACTCAAAATATGCGAAAATTGAAATTGTCACCAATATTGTTCAATTCCATGTATGCTCAATTTCCGATCATAATATTTCCTACCTAATGAGACGAGACATTGGGTTAATTGGGTGGCTTTGGTGTAATAATTATTGGTACTTGAAAATGGCTGAAAATTTGGGAGCGAATAACGAAAAAAACACGTGCGTATAGCAGTAAATGGTTTTAAACTGTCAAACTGTTTAAAATTTAACAAAATTAAGCAACCAAGCAACCAAGTATGTTAAAATGAAACAAAAAATGACTTCAAAGCAATTACTAATAACTTAATTATGGAAAATGACCGAAGTTTAACTTACTTACCTGGCACGAAGAAGAACTTAATCCTTAAAAGTTAGTGTTGTTTACTCTCTTCCAAATATTACCGTTTAAATTCAACAAACAACGGCAAATAAATAGTTCCTTACAAACCTCGAAAGTCGGAACAAAAGACTGAGGGTTTGTCAAATGAGTTCTTTACTTGGTACTGATCAATATAAATAAATATGGGTTGAAGGATTAGAGTTCACTTGTTTTGGTAAAAAGTGACCGCGGGCAAAAATTTGGGTTCCTTACCTTAAGCTTCCGCCTTTTGACTGACAGTCAAGACTGTTTTGACTCGTTTTTCTGCAACTGGAAGCCATGCTTTGTGAATCCAGACAAAACCAAAGCCTAACTCAAATAATCAGAAGGTTTCTTGACTTCAATTAACGCTTTCGGGCTGATTTAATTTCCGGTTAAGATCCGGAAAATGCCTATTCAAATACACATTTAGTTTGAGGCAAGTTTGAAGAGTTAATTAAAATTGCGTTTTACTACTTAATATGCTTTGATGGTCTGTTGACGCTATTAGTTTTAAAGGCTAGTGGGACTCGATCAATGGCGTTTTTCATTGTCGATTCTTTTGCAAATAGTATTACCGGATCTTTGAGTTTTTTAAAAATTTTCTGTCCTAAAATTTTTGGGTTAACTTGTTTTTCAGAATTTTTATTTTATTTTCAGCTCTAGACATAAAATTTTTCCTGCGCGTTTCTTTTTTTTTACTTTTTTTCTAACAAATCACTTAATTTTATTGTTTTTAAAATAGATTGGAAAATGATGAACTTGTAAAGAAAATTGAACCAATGTAACGTCCACTTAGTATAAAATATAAGATACTATTACTTTCAACTTCACAGGGTAAGATGCCCTCAATGATAAAAAGAGGTATGGTATAAAGTGAGAAATAACATGTGTTGTGGCGGATGCAATTTGAAGGTGATTACTGTTAATTGGGCGGAGAGGGGTCGACTCTGACCCCTATCCCTAGAGGGGTGACAGGAATTACCCGTTCTGCTCCAAACAGCATCCAAAACGCCGGACACAGAACAAACACTGTCATAGTTGAACAAACATGGTACAATTAAGATTTCACGCGAATGAACTTTTTGTCATCGATTGAAACATTTAAAAAAAAACATAGGAGCTCAAAAAACGCGTAACATAGTCTTAATAAAGAAAAACCCAATCATAGTCACTAAATTAAGATCTTTGCCATTCGGAGCAAAAATGACAAAAATTGCACAATTTTGTCACCTTTAACCAGGGAAGTTTTTGAAAATGTCTTTTTTTTGTTTTTTTTTGCTCAGATTGAAACGTTTCAATTGATTCAGATATGAATTTTCTTCTACTTAAATCAAACCTAGTGAAAACTATTGAATACAGTCTGAATAATTGATCAAGCTAAGTGACTTTGAAGTTTCAAAACGCCTAATTTTGCAGTTTTGTGTACACTTTACAAAAAATTTCTCAAAACTGCGAAAAAATTTCATCTGGAACCATTCAATGAGCTAACTAAGCATAAACATTTTTATCCGTTTGATTTGATTTGTCATAGATTAAAAATGGTTGTTAATTCCACTCTTAATTTCATTTTTTTTTTGCAAAATTTGGATC